ATTGAGGCTGAGCTCAACCACTTGTGCAGATGCACGTGGGACTGGCAGGTGACCCCCACGGCTCCCAGCTCCTTCTCAGTGGTCTTCCCTGACGCGATGAGCATGGGCTTCTGCACGCGCAGCAACAACATCACCCTGGCTCTCAACGACATCGTGGTGAACATCTCTGAGCCGCAGTGGGATCCCAGAGCCGTCGCTACCCTGGACACGGCTTGGCTCCTCATCTCCGGCCTCCCTGATGTTGCCCGTTCCGAGCGGGTCATCCGCAGTATGTCCAAGATCCTGGGCAGGGTGGTGGTGGTGGACGAGCTCTCCCTGCGCAAGGAGGAGGAGGTCCGGGTTAAGGTGAAATGCCTGGACTCCTCCAAGCTCCACGTCACGATCCGTGTCTTCTTCAACGATGACGGCTACGACCTCAAGATCCGCCCCGAGCCTCCGTCCCACGTCGGCCGCCCCCGCCTCTCTGCTGGCGGCCTCTTGGGGGGGGGCCCTGCTGATGCTGACGACTCTCACCACCGCCGCTCGCGCTCCTCCCGCTTCGACGACCCGGCCAAGGATGAGGATGAGTCGGAGCACTCTCGCTCCCTGTCTCGGGACCCCCCCAACCCTCCTGCGGGTCGGGGCGGGTCGGGGGCGGGGCGTACCCGGGTGTCGGCCACCGATCTCGTGGTGGCCCTCCGCCTGGCCACCCCTCTGGTTCCCTCCCCGTCTTCGTCGGCGTTGACCGGCGTCATCTCCAGCGTGAGTCTCCTCGTCGCCCCTCCATCGTCACCCCGCTCCCCCGACGCCGCCTCTGCCCGCCGCCTCACGCCACCAGGGGCTGCGCCCACGCCCTCCGCCGACTCACCTTCCCCGGTGTCTTCCGGGGTTGGTGGTGTTGAGGAGCCCGTCGCCCTTGCCCCGTCTGCCCCATCTCCTCCACCCTCGGGGGCCGCGGTCGGGGCGGCGCTGGGGTCGGCCGATCCTCACCCCGCGGCGGTGCCGTCCAGCTCCCACCTCGCCTCGCCGGCCTCTCCTGACGCCTCGGTGGCAGTGGACGTCTCCTCCCCGGCCTCCGCGCACCCCCCTCCGACGGTGGCGTACGCCAGGAGGCCCCGCTCCACCTCGATGCCGGTGACGTCCTCTCGCCGCAGCGCCCGCCTGGAGGCGTCGCGGCCGGGCGACTCTCCTGCGCCTTCCGTCGCCGAGCGGGCGGAGCTCCGCGCCGCGGTCCGGAACCTCGAGTCAGGTGTGGATCCCGCCCCTCCCAGTTCCTCTCGTTGCTCCTTTTCTGCTCTCGAGGCCGCCCCCCTCAGCCACCTCGCTAAGGTGGCCAATGACTCGGCCATTGTCTTCAGGGGGGAGGTCGGTCCCTCCTTAGAACAGATCGCGGCCATTAGGGCCCGGGAGATCCTCGACGGTAGGCTGGCTGAGACTCGTGCCCGCCTGCTGCGGCCCCCGGCTCCGGCTCCTCCGGTGGCCGACGGGATTATCCGTGGACGCACTCGGTCTCGCACGGCCGCCCTTCGCGTGCAAAGCGCCTCTCGTGTTCTGGGGTCAAGCAGCCCCCCGATGGGGGTTTAGATGCGGGCCCTTTTCTAGAACCTCCGCGGCTTCGGCCATGATGGTCGTCGCCGCCAGCTCATCGAGTACATCCGGGATGAACATATTGACATTGTGGCCATCCAAGAAACCCTCCGCTCTGAGTTCACCCTGCAGGAACTTGAACATTTGAGCCCCCACCTCTTCGCGTGGCACTGGCTCCCTTCTAGTGGGACCTCAGGCCACTCGGGTGGCATCCTCTTAGGGGTTAAGGATACCACATTTGAGGTGGGAGGCATGGATAGAGGGGAATTTTTCGTTAGTATGGAGATCTTCGAGCGGGCCCTGAACTTCAAATGGGAGGTCATTGTTGTCTACGGACCGGCGGACCATCGCCGCTCCCCGGCGTTCCTTGACGAGCTGCAGCTGAAGATCTCTAACTCTCCCCTCCCAGTTTTAGTGGGGGGTGACTTCAATCTCATCCGATCCCCGGATGAGAAGAATAATTCCCGGATTAATTTCCCCCGGATGCAATTATTCAACGATTGGATCGCGGAGCTGGGGCTCCGTGAGCTTGACCGGTCAGGTGCCAGATTCACTTGGACCAACCGGCAAGCTGTACCGACACAATCCGTGCTGGATCGTGTCCTAGTTTCCCCGGAGTGGGAATTGCGATGCCCCTTGGCATCGCTCCGGGCGGTCACCCGGATTGGCTCCGATCATGTCCCCCTTCTCCTCTCCACCGCCGACGAGCGCCCCCCCTCCCCGCCGCGGTTCCGGTTCAAGCTCTTCTGGCTCAATCAGACCGGCTTCCGGGAGGCCGTCGTCGCCCGCTGGATTTTCGCTAGGTCGGCACCCCATCGCTCCATGTCCGCGGTCGATTCATGGCACTTTTGTGCCAAGCTAGCCCGCCAGTTCATGAAGGGTTGGGGGGCTAATCTTGGCCGGGACCTTAGAGAGCGCAAGAAGTCCATCCTGATTGCTATTCAAACCCTGGATGCTCGTGCGGACTCGACCGGGCTCTCCTCGGACGAGTGGCTGATTCGTTACGACCTGGAGGACCAGCTCTCCACCATCTACACGGATGAGGAGGCGTACTGGCGCTTGCGTGGTACCCAGAGGTGGGTGCTACAGGGCGATGCCAACACCGCCTATTTCCAGGCGGTCGCGAACGGCCAGCACCGTCGCAACTCCATCCACTGCCTGTGGGATGGAGACTCGACGTTAGTTCTTCCAGCGGCCATCCGCTGTCATGTGGATGGCTTCTATAGGGCCTTATTTACCCCCACCCCGCGCGGTGGGGCTAGTCTCGCCCCCGACATTTGGTCGGGCGCGCATGTAGTCTCGGCTGAAGCCAATGCGGCTTTGGTTGCCCCCTTCAGCGAGGAGGAGGTCCTCGCTGCCATTAAGGGGATGAACCCCTCCTCGGCCCTGGGACCTGACGGTCTTCCAGTGGCTTTCTTCAAGACGTTCTGGCCGACCATCAAGCTGGAGGTCATGGCTCTCTTTGAGGAATTCTACTCGGGCTCCATGGACCTGGGTCGCCTTAATTATGGGGTGGTGACCCTCATCCCCAAGGTCCCGGGCGCCTCCGATATTCGTCAGTTCCGCCCCATCACAGTGATTAATGTGATTTTTTGGATCCTGGCTAAGGGGTACGCCAATAGGGTGACCCTCCTTGCGGACACTATCACCCACCCGAACCAATCCGCCTTCATTCAAGGCCGATTTATCCTGGATGGGGTGTTGGTGTTCCACGAAGTGCTCCACGAGGTCCGCCTGAAGCGCCATAGGGCGGTCTTTCTCAAGTTGGACTTCCACAAAGCCTACGACACGGTGCGCTGGCCGTTCCTGAGGGAAGTCCTTCTTCGCAAGGGCTTCGATGACCGTTGGGTGACCCGAGTCATGCAGCTCGTCTCTTGTGGTTGGACTGCGGTGAACATCAACGGCGACATTGGGCCCTTCTTCCCTACCCTCTGCGGGGTCCGGCAGGGAGATCCCTTCTCGCCGTTCTTGTTCAACATGGTTGTGGATGCCTTGGGAGGCCTTGTCCCGCACCTTGTTGGAGGGGGAGGGGTCTCCCTTCTACAATACGCGGATGACACCATTATTATGGTCGAGGGGTCTGCCTTAGAGATCTCCAACCTGAAGTTCCTTCTTCTGTGCTTCCAACAAATGTCGGGCCTCACCATCAACTTTGATAAGAGCGAAGTGATGGTGCTCGGTTACCCCTCTGAGGACGCACAGTCCATTGCCGACCGGCTTAACTGTCGGCTAGGTTCTTTCCCCACGACCTATCTGGGGATCCCCATTAGTGACTCGCGCCTCACCGTGGCGGACCTCCGCCCCACGGTGACCCGTATGCAACATCGCGTAGAGCCCTGGAAAGGGCGTTGGCTATCGAAGGCGGCGCGCGTGATCCTTATCAACTCATCGCTAGCCAGCCTCCTGTGGTTCCTTATGAGCTTCTATAGCCTTCATGAAACGCTCCATCAGGAGGTCGCCAAATACCAGTCAAGATTCTTCTGGGCTGGGGAGGAGGGCAAGCAGAAATACCACATGGTCAGCTGGCCAGACATCTGCAAACCCAAAGACCAGGGCGGTCTTGGGATTCTGTCCTCTCGGCGCATGAACATCGCCCTCTTGACCCGCTGGCTCTGGCGCATCGCCAATGGGGACGGTGGCCTCTGGCTTACTATCATCCAGAATAAGTACCTGCGTGGACAGCCACTGGCGTTCTGCCAACGCTCGGGCGGTTCCCAGTTTTGGCAGGCCGTCGTCCGGCTGCTTCCGGTCTTACGTATAGGCACTTCCATCTCTGTGGGCTCTGGAGCTTCGACCTTGTTCTGGCTGGACAGGTGGCTCGGAGGCTCCCCTCTAGCCGCCCGGTTCCCCATCCTCTTCGACATTGTAGTTGACCCTCGGGTCTCAGTCGAGGCGGCCCTTATTGACTTAGGGCGCCTCGCGTTCCGCCGCCCTTTTGGCCCCACTGAGGTGGCTGCCTGGGATGTCCTCCTCCAGGATATCGCCCTGCTACCTATGGACGTGGCAGATTCTCCGGACTCCATCTCCTGGCGCCTAGACCCCTCCGGCCGCTTCTCCACCAAATCCCTCTACGCGGCCATTGCCCCTTCGTCAGCCCCAGAGCCCTTTGGTCTTATCTGGGACATCCGCCTCCCACTTAAGATTCGGATCTTTCTTTGGCAATGGATCCGCGGCCGCCTCCCGACCGGCGTTGAGGTTCTTAAGCGCCATGGTCCTGGCGATGGAATGTGCCCCCTGTGTGGCACGGTAGAGGACGCTAATCACATCTTCTTCCTGTGCTACACGGCACAGTTCCTTTGGTCTTGTTTCCGCGAAACGGTTGGGGGACAGTGGTGCAACACCAACTTCCCTGACCTGCTTGCGGAAATTCAAGCCTCCCCCCCTCGCTACAAACATATTAGATGGCTGTGCGTCGGGGTTCTAGCCTGGACCCTGTGGACGGTTCGCAATAAGCTTGTCATTCAGAAGGTGCCCCTTCGGCGTGCGACTGACTCCATCTTTAAAATGTGTGGTTACTTGCAGCTCTGGCGGCCGCTTAGCCGCCCGCAGGACCGGAACGCATCGACAGACTCCTCACCGACCTCCGTTCGTTGGCCTTTCGCCTGGCGCCTCCGCTCCCGCCGCCACCACCGGAGCCCGACTAGAGGATGTTTCCCTCCTGGCGCTTGTGCCTTTTTGTGTGTGTGTGTTGGGCTTGTTGAGCTGTGCCCTCAGCAGTAACCCTTGTTGCTTGCTGGTGCTTGGACTTTGTGTGCGTGTGGGCTTTGTGTTTGTGTGAACCTTGTTGGATGTTGGCTTTGGCATTTGCTTTATATATAAAGCGGGGCGCAAGCCTTTTTCGGTAATACTAGTCACGTATGCTTAAAATTTGTTTTGTTGTTTCAGGACCAAGGAGGAGTGCTGACATCATCTACCAGCCACTCAAACTCTGAAGCTCGGTGAGTTGTTAGCAAGCACAAGGAAATAGAGATACTTAATCTGTTGCTTGGTTACTGCAAGAAGTGGCCACAACATTATTTCTGAAACATTTTGTTACATACATAAAATAGTTACTTTTATCTCTTAACCATGAATTTTCAGGACTGAATGTAGTTTATGGCCTGTTGAATTAGAAAAATCGCAGACATGCAGGAGCGCTGAGTCCATTGCAGTTGAGGAACACCAGCTAACAAGTAATTCTTTCAGTTAACTGTTTATGGAGTTGGGATCTTGAATTTGATATATTGCATTGTATTGTGTACTAGTAGGTTTTAGGGAGAGGTAGGGGAAGGGCTATCACCCCAAAAGCAAGATAGAAGAGTTGCTCTTCTAATTCTTGCTGGATTTATTACTCATAGGGGTTGCTCTTTAACAATCTGATATAAGTAATAGATCATGGATCTTCTGATTGACTCGAGTCCCAAGTTAATATCTCTTCCTAATTTAAATGATAAACTATGTAACCGAGAGATGGGATCTTAACCCATAAGTGGGAGCTGATTTCCTTGCCATGGGGCCATGTACTTTCATAAGTTCAACCTTGCCAAATGTTTACTGAACTTTCCAAAGTACAACTTCATGCCCCGTATGATTCTTCTTGAACATGGTTTAATGAAAGTATATTCCTATTACTTTTTCTGATATTGCTCATGAGTCATGTGTATAACATATTTAATTGAGTTTTAATTCAGGTCACCAGGAAATTGCTGAACCTTTTGCCAGGAAGCAGAGGTTCCGGTGGGGTCACTGTTTGCCCTGGAAAATGGTAGAAACAGCTCCTTGTATTCATGAACTCAACGGACCAGGTACTAGCTACAAGCACCAACTCAACATCAATGGATACTTCCCTACATTTCTGTAAGAGGCTGTTTCTAGGACTTGAACCCATGACCTCATGGTCACAAGGCAGCAGCTTTACCACTGCGCCAAGGCTCCCCTTCAGAATCAATAAATGAATATTTAGACATATTAGTTTTAACATTCGGCAAAACCCATCAACTTTCAAAGGAAACTACAGTCTGCATCACAAACAAGCAAAACTCATGGTGCATTCCCTGCAGGGTTTTCAGGTTTCCATTTCTCCCAATTATTGGCTGCTACAAATAATTTTGCATTCCGATGCAAAATTAGAAGTTGTGGATATGCTGATGTGTATAAGGTACATAATGTGAATGTGCTTTTGAAAAAAAAAATCTTTTTGGATCTAGGAGAAAAAAAATCCTTTTTATCTTCTTGTATTATTCTTCGCAAGTATATTCTTAATGGTCCAAATCTTGTTGCACTTTTAAATGCATAACACACAATCATCATAACTAAATTTTTACAACAGTGAACGTCACAACAAAACTTCCCTGGTTTATTCACTGGTATTTTTAGTGTTTTTTACTGATGCTGTTACCCTTTTAAGATAATCGAATTACCAGTGCAAAAAATTGTTTGGGCATTACATCAGCAAACACACATTTGCTCCTTTACTTTCATATATTCAAACATCATGAAGTGATCAGTTCATTAATTAAAAATTCCCTGTCCCCCTGCTTCTGATTTAGCTACCTCAAGTTTATAAAAGATCTGACAAGACATGTCTTGACATATGTAAATCAAGTTTCATCGGCCCTGGCTAATAATGGCATGCAAAAAAAGGTGCATCCACAACACCTTTACCTTTGCATACGACACATTAAACTTTATTCTTTCTGAATTTTTCCTAAACAGCATAGCTCTGATATTGAGTTTTGAGAGGTGAAAGATTGCATGCTGCTTGTTAAAGATAGATATCCATTCCCCGGATGAAGGTTCTAACATGCCAATTTAGACATATTTCTACCAGAGAAATTCTTACTTGTAATTAGTTTTAACATGGATTAAGATATGTACATATGTATGTCACCTTTTGTTTTGTTATCTGCAAAAGGAGCACAATCTTAAAGAATTTCTACATAACATGGATGTAAAATCGAATACTGTATTGAGCCGAAATGTACATGTCTAGAATCGAATGGTTATCTGGCATACATCCAACCTAGATGCTCCCTTTTTTTTGGAAATCTTTGCAGCAGTACTAAATCACATACCGACAAATTGTCGTAGATAAACCTAGTGTTGATGCTTGCAGGGACGATTGGACAGTGGACTTGAAGTCATGATCAAAAGATTTTATCAAAATAACTCCCATTCTTCACTCACATTTGAAAATGAAGTCCGCTTTCATGCAAAGCTTCTACACAAAAACGTTGCTAAGCTCATTGGATGTTGCAGTGAAAGAGGAGAAGCACTTTTAGTCTATGAATCTCTGCCAAATGGGTGTTTGTCTGACGCGGTAACTGGTATGTCTCTTCTAAGTTGTTCTTATAGGTCACTGTGGACCTTTTTCACTTAGTTTGTTCTCTCACGATTGTGACGATAAGTATCTCACTGGCACAGGAACAAGGGTGTTGCTCAACTGGTCTGAGCGCTTCAAAATAATTTTAGGGATAGCCCGTGGGGTGGCCTATCTACATGATTGCTGTGGGATACAAATTATGCATGGGGATTTAAATCCACAAAGGATTCTCTTAGATTCTTATATGACTCCTAAGATTACTGATTTTGCTTTTGCAAAAGTGTGTAGTCCGGATGGGCGTGAAAGACACAAGCGTAGTTTACTCGGTACAAGGTATGAACTTATCAAGTTCACGGTAAAGCCTTTGCTCTATCACCTCATGTATTTTCTTCATCTTCATATATTTTTGTATTTGTTTGGTTCTAGGGGTTATATGGATCCTGGATATGTTATTAACCGTATTTACTCAGTGAAGAGTGACGTGTATAGCTTTGGTATCACTCTTCTTGAGATAATTACTGCAAAGAGGCCCGATGCACTTTTCAAGGATGCAGGTGATGTAAGTACATGTGCTAACTGATGTCCTCTGCAAATAGAATTCCTTGGATGTACCAACCCATTTTCTTTGTTCATATATCGGATTTTACTAAATAGGGGCACTCAAGTAATATAAGAAGAATTGCCTTTTGTATTTATGATGCTGCAGCTTCTCAGATTGCCGACAATGGCAGAATCAATGGAGATGTACCACATGATAGATCCAGCATTGCATGGTGAATCAAGAATGACCGAGATAATGAAATGCATTCAGATCGCATTATGGTGCTCCAGGCCCAATGCGGGAGACCGGCCCAGCATGTGGGATGTTCTTCTGATGCTCAGCTGCGAGAGTGCAACCTTACGTGTGCCGGAGCCATTCCAGAGCCAGTGTGACACACAGGAGCTGTGTGAAGGGGTGCTATCGGATTCAGAGATAACTGAACCAAGATAGTATGTGCGATTCAAGGCCACAGATTTCATCGGGCTCTACATGGCGCGCAGAGGATATTAAGTAGTAGTAGTAAATTTTTTAGTTGAGTATTTGCGCATCAATGGAGCGATGATATGCGTACATAACCATTTCTTTTTGCACGTGCGTGTCACTGGTTATGATCGCATGAATCTCCTCAGTTTCTCACCCAATACCCTGTAGTGTAGGTGTGCATCGTGATGTTTATTCTGACTTTAAAGAGAAGGTTATACTGTAGATGTGTGAATCTTGCAATGTACACCATGTTTCATCTTGATCGTATCGTCGTGCAAAACTCAAGCCATCCATTGCACGATGACCCTGCCGCTGCGACCGAATAGCGCTTGCGGCGTTGCTTTGTGGCACTGGCATGTAACGTGTCCTACGGAGGCCGTTCCTCCTTCACTCCCCTTGTGGCGACATCCGACGGCGAGCGTTTGTTCGTTAAGGCCGTACCCGAAGCAAATCGGTAACGCTTACGTGGATGCTTAGAGAGAAGTCTGAGGGCGGCCAGGCGAGAAGGCAGCGTAGGACTATAGGTGGAAGCCAGGAAGGGGCACATCGGTACGTGGAGAAGTAAGTAGAGGCGGCGGGGTCACGCCAGCGCGCGCTGGAGTTCGCTCCTTCAGTCCAAGCCTCAGTCACTATGGGTATATTTGGTAGGGTATATGAGGGCAAAAGTTTCCAATCCGACCCACTTTTGCTTGTTTGATAGGGTGTATGGGCTCATCTGAGCTATGCTTATCTGATGCATAAAAGTGCCCTCAGCCATGCTCATCTCATGCACCCCAAACAGTGTGCATGGAGGCAACTATGCTGGCCCTGACACTCGTCCTCACCGGCCAGACCACGTTCAGATATGTTTATTTTTTCAAAAAGAATCAGAATTTCAAAAATTGTTTAAATTTTCAAAAAACTTTAGAATTTCAGAAAAAATGAAAAAAAGTTGAATTAAAAAAAACATAATTTCAAAATTTGTTCAAATTTTCAATAAATATTTGAAATTTCAATTTTTCTAAAAAATTCATAAATGTTTGGAATTTCAAAAGGAAATCAAAATTTGTTTGAATTTTGAAAAACAATAGAATATTATTTTTTTATAAAATATTCAAATATTCAATTTTTGTTTAAATTTTCAAAAAACTCGTAATTTCAAATATGTTCAAATTAAAAAAAAGAATTTCAAAATTTATTTTAATTTTCCAAAAAATTTAGAATATCAAATTTTATTTAAATTTTCAAAATATGTTTAAATTTGTGTTGACATTTTTTCGATTTTGTTCATCATTCAAAAAAATATTCAGAATTCGAAATTGTTCAGCATGTCTAAATACATGCAGGCTGACAAACAAAATCTCAACTCAGCATGTCTCAGCACATACATCTATATACCAATATAAAAAGACCCAAAGGGGCAGATCCAATTGATCTCGGCCGTCAAACTAAGTTAATCCAACGACCTACACTGCTCTAATGGCGAGCGTTCAACATATTTAACGTGCAATTAATATCATACCAACTATTGCATTAATCATAGAATTAACACACAAATAATATCATACCTAATATCTGCATGCAATTAATATATTGCCTAAATATTAACGTGCGTTGCACGGGCGCATTTACTAGTCACTGCCAAACAACAGCAACTGCATGGACCCAACATGTCTACACTCAGCATGTATGAGATGAGAACAACTAGACTAGGTCCATACATGCTACCAAACACACCCTACCTGATGTCGGAGCGAAGAAGCTCGGCACCCCGTGGACCGTGGTGCCGCCCCCTTAGCTTATCCAAAGTAAGCGCCTAGCCAAGCGGCAAGGAGCGCAGGCGGCGGCGACGGTGACGGCCAGTGACGGTGCACCGCTTGGTTGGCGGCCTATTGCGTCTGAACTGAAGCAGAAGGCGCCCTTGATGCATCAGAGCTTGGGCCTCCTTAACGGTGTTGGCGTACGTTGTCTTGCCGTCTCCCTGCGCTGAGAGTGTTCGACGAAATGACCCTGAATGTTGTTCAGCTGGAAAGCAGGTTCCACCAAACCACGTAGTACGTCGGACCAAGGAAGCGGCAGCACAAGAAAAAACTGCTTAAGTACCTGTAGTGATTCAATTTTTCCCTATTTTACCTGTCCATTTCTTATGGCCGTGCTAGCGTTCTCCCATTTGCATGGCTAGATATTTCGTATAATGTAGATGTCTTCATCAAATATAGATACATTTGCCTTATCTCTACTTCTATAAAAGACTCAGTTTGTGATGATGGTGTATCTGTTATCCGTCATTTCTGATCATTAAATCTACATCTAATGGCCGTGAGGTAAGTTATGGCATTTTTGCAACAATAACCCACTTCTCTGCTCCAATTTGTAGAAAACCTCTTATTATTTTGAAATCAACCACACCCCTCCCTCATCCCATCAAAACAGCCTGGCGAATATATTTTAAGTGAAATATAATATATTTTTAGTGGTATATGCATATCAAAACTAGATTGTTTTCTTGCAAGTTTGTGAATAAGTACTATTCTGCTTTGAATCCGTTGCAACGCACGAACACATTGCTAGTACCAATTTATATGTTTTAATGCTGCTCGATTAATTTAGATAGTATAACCCTGATATGCAGGAGCTCCTTTTAACCCCCTGTTTTAGTAATATGATGATAGATTTTTTTTCAATTAATATGCGTCTAAATGTGAAATGTGGAGTGTTCTTCTTCCCGTGATCTTACACATGTACGGATGTAACAAATTTAAGATTGTTTTCCACACCAAAAACTCTGAACTGATTGTAGTAAGTAATTTCAGGTATGAATCTGATCAAGACATGTGCAACCAAACAATTAGTCCGTCTTCATCCAGAAATAGAACATCCATCATATCTATTTCAATATTGGTTCCTGCACTGGTAGTGGCTGTACTTGTCATTTCATATCTGGTCTGAAGGCAGAAAAGAAAGCCTAACAAATCCCAAATCAGCCAGGAGTTTCCTAAATCGGCTCACTGTTCTTGGACCTTTTGCTAACACAAGCTAGCAGCCGAGATGATGCCGCGATTTCGCCTCTGATCCACTAGCACGCACCTGCTCGGTCAGCAACAGGATTTGAGCGCCGGGCCGCTGATTTGGTTGAGGTCGAGACCAGCAGGCAGGAATTTGCACCTCAATTGACTTAGCCATGGATCTCTCTTCAACGTGACATAGGAATTTTTATATGTTTTGGTCTCAATCTTGGAGCTCCACTTTTATCGATCCTACTTGCATTGGGGGCATTGTGCTGTATTTCAAATCTGTAGTGCTGTCATAACTCAACTTGTGGTTTAATTATGAGGTCCCGGAAGTATAATTTGCAATTGAAAAAGATCAAGAATTCAACTCTTTCTCATCGTATTGCAAGTTGAGGCACTAAATTTTATGTAGTGGTTCTGTCCGAGGTCGCACGACGGAGTTTGATCCTCCAAATTGCAATGTCAACTAATAAACCAGAGCCCGTCCGACCAATTCCCGTGCGAGTGTGGTCATTTTCAATTATGTCATTCATCGTTCATTTTACCCTGTCATCCAAGAAGAACTAGTCAGTGCACACCACAATGTCGTCGTCTTCAAGCATAAAGATAATAAACATGTACATATGTCAATATGCCGTGTCAATCTGAATCTTCAACTGCTACTGCTTATATCACATAGATGGGCCATCACATTTACAAAATAAAGGTTGTAAGAGCATCTTCAACGCTGACCATCAAATCGTCTACATACATGCGAACGTATTGTGTCATCCAACATGGACCTGTATCGGTCCGCTCGGTGCTCCGGGCGTGCTTTTTCCACAAACCGGAGACAAACTAGGAGAGCTTTGCAGGTGTCCGGACACTACCACACCTGCGTCTGACCGTCCTGGCTCACCCAACAACCCTACCTGCCTCTCTCGCGCTTTCCTTCCGATGCACACGCTGCTTCCCGCGCCGCATCAATGCCGACCCAGAGCACAGAGCAGCCGACATTGATACCGCGGTGTGACCGGCGCTGACTGACGTGACATCTCGGGAGTCGCTGCTTCAATGCAGATGCAGCTTCCCGAGAAACCAACTCGGTTGCTGCGCCGCATTGAAGCCGCTGACCGTCCGTTCGCATGGCCTGGCCAAGGCTTTATAAGCCGTGTTGTGGCGCCGTCCACATCACGATCTCTCTGCTCTTCCTCCTCCTCCTTCCCTCCCTGCCACTCTTCCTCCACAACTCCGATGATGGGCAAGTCATGGGTCAGGCGGCGGTTCCAAGACAGGCTCTGGAGGATCGTGGCGACGCCGCCCTCGAACTTCGGGGCCGATGTCCTCATTGGCGGGTGGCTACTCAACGAAGACGGAGATCGTCATCTCCTCCTCCGATGAGGAGGACCAGCCACCGCCGCAGCAGTCCACGCCGGTGGCGCAGGACCAGGTGTACGCCGCCACGGACAAGGAGTGCGAGCAGCGGATGGAACTGATGCTCTGTCGCTCCATCCTCCACCTGAATGGCTCGGTGGCACCACCGGGGACGCTCCTCCCCGTGAAGCTAGAGCCTGCATCCCCTCCACGCTCTCCGGCGCGCAACCGTGGCATCCAAATCGGACCCCACGTGAAGGAGGAGCCCCTCTCGCCCCACCTCGGCACATGAAGGACGAGTGGATTGACACGTGAAGGAGGAGCGGCGCTCTCCGCACCTCGGCGTGTGAAGGACACACGCCGCTCGCCGCTGCCCGTGCCCAATGCGATCACCAGGAAGGCGCGCGGTCGCATTCGCCACTACCTCGGTGGCGACGGCAGTAGCGGCAGCTCTTCGTCGTCTGGAGCACCATAACGACGCATGAGTACGCTGACAGAGAGCGGTACCGGCGAGACAGGTGCAATGCTGAGCGCCGGTCGGAGTTCGCGGACTCCGACGTCCTGCCGCCACACATCACGGTAGACCCGGAGCTGGCGTACGCCTGGGCCATGGAACGCTCCGTG